CGGGCTTTGGTACTAACGACCATCTTCAAGCAGTGAAAACCCTTATTGAGAAATGCGTGGAATATAACCAGCCTTTAGCTCTAATTTTTGTAGACTTCGAGAAAGCATTCGACACTATCGACCAGTCGAAAAATGCTCGATGCGTTAACTGAATGCAGAATCGATCACAGATATATCACTCTTATAAAGAACATATACGCTGGAGCAACGGCATGTGTAAAACTGCACAAGTACACGAACAAGTTCCCAATCAGAAGGGGTGTGAGGCAAGGAGATACAATTTCTCCAAAGTTATTTACCACCTTCTTGGAATTGATGTTCAAGAAGATCGATTTCAAAGATATGGGCATTAACATAGATGGCCGAAATTTAAACCATCTTCGATTCGCAGATGACATTGTTCTGATAAGCAATAGTTTAGACAAAGCAGCAAAAATGCTTGATAGGCTGCATAATGCTTAATTGGATGTAGACCTTAAAATCAATGTTGCAAAAACTAAAATCATGACAAACCTTGTTCCCAACCAAAATACAGTTCTGGGTGATTCTCAAATTGCACAAGTTACATCTTACGTGTACCTCGGCCACGAACTACGAATAGATAGAGATAATCAGACGTGTGAAATTAAAAGAAGAATATCACTAACTTGGGCTGCCTTTGGGCGACTTGGTTATATATTTAAAGAAAACATCCCCATTTGCCTCAAACGTAAGGTGTTTGAAAGCTGTGTCCTACCAGTTATGACCTATGACCGCTTTAGCTTCTAATCATCATTGAATCTGTCCAAAAGCTCTGAATCATATGCGCCAGTGATCGTTTTACCCTTTTCAAGGTAATGGATGTGAATAACACCGCGTGTATCTCAAAAAACTGTGGCCATCACCTTGGTCGCCTGCAAAGTTGAAACGGAACATGGCAAAACATTCATTTGAAATGGTCACACGGCAGCGCTTATGGTCGAGTGTCAGTAATCGCTGCATCCATCGTGCGGATAGCTTGTTCAAATCCAAATATTCTTGTAAAATGTGATGTACCCTGTCAGTTGAGATGCCTATAGCATCAGCCAGTTCAAGCACTTTTATTCTCCTTTCGTCCAGTATTGTCCAATATCGACCATTTCTGGCGTGACAACCACTTTTGGACGACCTGGACGTTCTGCGTCATTTGTGCTGGTACAATAACAACGAAACTCAGTGAACCACTTCTTAACCATTGAAATTGATGGTGCAGAGTCCACATAGTGTTTATCAAGCTTTTCCTTCGTTTTGGTGATGGTGTTTTTACGTAAAAAATAATACTTGATTGGCACTCGAAATTAACTTTTTTCCATTTTCGTCGAAATTCACAAAGTGATCTTCTTTGAATGACTGTTAAACATAAATTAAATGACGTAGCATGCTCAAAATTTCACAGCAGTCGGGAATAGCGTTGAATTTAAAGTTACTGGTCGTACGTTACTCGTCAGCAAGGTTTAGCCTGAAACTAGCAATTCCGAAATATGCTCTTTATTTCGCCAATGTACCTACTTTACATCGGGGCAGAACTAGTTGCTGTCGCCATATGTAAGTCTTGCAATATTGTATTTATACTGAGCTATAATAATAATGATAATAATTAGGCAAATTACTACAAATGGTTTCAAAAAATAAACTCAATAGTTTTTCCGTACTCTCCAAGTGCTTACTTAAAAGGAATGAGGTAAATTTCGAATGACCATGTTATAAATATTTTTGTACTTACCTACTGACGTGCAGAAATGTTTGTGAGCATCTAAGGTCTTCAAGCAGCGCTTATTTCGTAAATCCCAAATTCGAAGAGTTTTATCATCACTGGCAGAAACCAAAAATTTGCCACCAGGATGAAATACTACCCCTCGCACCCAATTATCGTGAGCTGTGAGTGCAAATAATGCAATGCCGGCACCAACATCCCATATTCTAAAATAAGAATTTATGTATGACATTCCGCTAATTATGGAAGTTTCACTGGATGAAATTCAATATGATTTTGATGATAAGCCTACACATATTTGCAGTCTCAATATCAAGTTAAAATTCCAGTCGTGTGACCCAGACATATTTAAACATTTTCCGTAGCACTATATTTAAAGTTTACTTTGGATGTTTATTGTAGGTATGGGGTAAGTTATAGGAGGTGAGAACACTTAGCCCGGTATGCATAGTCAATCCAAACCGATTCGCCGTGATGTCGCAGTCATAGATTAATACAGGATTGCTGCCAAGGTTTAGGCAAAGAAAGAGTTGACACTTTTGACACCCAAGGCAAAGTTGAGGGTGTCAATCGGTCAGGAGTTAGCAAAATGGATTTTTGCCCACATATCGAACACTATTTTTTATTCAAATGAAAGACATAACGAGTCATACGTTATAATAAATAATAGCCATAAATAAAAGGCATCAATTTCATATTTTAAATTTGATGTCAATGCCATTTGTGACATTGCCACGTTTTGACCGTTGTAATCATATACAAGTGAATCAATGAGTGTTGAAAATGCAAGTGCTGCTTTCACGGTATGGTGTATGTGTAAGTTGCATATTTTGCATGATATTTGCGCTATTTAAAAAGAGCATGCTTTGCGTGTGGCAACATCGACGAGCGAAAAAAAATTATGCCATTAGAACGACTTTGAGATTAAACTTGCAACAAAATTATAATTTACAAATTGTAAGTACGTTAAATTATGATCAATAGTTGCCTATAAACCTAAGTAATTCATTAAAAAAGCCCGTCGGTTACTTTTTAAAAATACTTTAAAAAATATAATGACTGACACCTTCAATTTGTCACATTTACTTTTGAGCACATGTGCGTAAAAGTAAAACAAATAAACAGTAGAGAAAAGTGCTTCCTTTTGATCAGAGCATCTGGTCGAAAAATGGCGGGTTTTGATTCATTCGATCAAATTCATTTAATCTCCAAATTGCTAACATCAATTGTAAAGACACAAGATAATTTAGACGGTTTTACGATTGATATCGAATGGTAAAAATTCCAATTGATTTTAGTGGATATTGTTAAAAAACAAAGTTTCCTTGAAGATACGGTTGAGTCTTAGTCGAAAAGCACGGGAGATCACTTCGCCCACTGCCTCATCGCCTTTGAAAATGTCCACCGCAGTTGTGGACGAAACGTCAGGAATAAATTCCGATAGACCACGGCTTCAAAGCCCGGAAAACATTCCTAAATGTAATTTGACCGGCCGTGAAAGCCTTCATTATCTAGAATTATTTTTTAATTTTTGTTCATATGCAAAAAACATTTATTCTGGCAAGAAAATATGAATTCAGGATGATTCAAAATTGGCGTCATTCCTTTTAAGGGTATATAGGGGCTCACTTAGAGAGTACGAAAAAAATATTGGAAAAAAAAATTTCCCCAAAATTTTAAAAAGATATTAACAATTGAAGATCGAATTTCAACTTTGTTATTAAGCATTATTTTGAAAAGGTCCCACGTTTGATTGGTAGCCTATTGGGATACTTAAGCATTCGAAAAGAAAATTTTTGATTAAAAAAAGTACTCTTCTTTTTTTTTTTGAATGTTTTTATGAACAGTGAAAGCGGCAATGATGTTTTTTGTCATTAACAGATAATTACAAGTAGATAGCGTTTGTCAATAATAACAAGCATTTGTCAAACTGTGACTAATTTTGAAGCTCCTTTTACAAAATGTACACAAACATTGAATTTGCGAATATGCGATTAGTTATGAAAAAATGCCACAGTAACATAGCAGAAGGTGTACGAACTTACACATCTACATATAAACTTTGTCAAATACTGAAGCTTGAATTTAAGAGAATAAACAACAGCAAACACAAATCGAAGCAAAATTATAAGTTCCATTTTTTAAATTTCGTAATATCCCGTTTCCAATAACCTTTTTTGTTTCACTTATCATTTTTTAAATATTTTTAATTATCATTTTTTTGAAAATCTAAATTTTTTAAGTGACCATCTGGGGATTTGAATTTTACCGATCTGGCATCACTGCTTTGAATGCTATATGCCAAATAAGATCAAACTAAAATCATTCAAAATGTTGCACGTCAATCAAAGTAATGGACAATCATTTAAAATTAATGAAATCTGTGTTTAAAGATTCAATTAAAATAATAGGTGGTTAATATTAAATATTATTATTTTTTACATTTTTTATAGGTGTATAAACATTTACATTGTAATATACAGTTACCAATAACCGTTGTTGTTTCACTTATCTTTTTAATTATAACTTTTTCACAAAATCTAGGAAAAACTAGGGATTTTTTAGGTAACTGTCTAGGGATTTCAATTATCAAATCAGAGGATCAAATATTAAACATACGTTCATAATATATACCCCGAGAATATACAGAGTGAGTTTTTTAAAGTGTTACAAGGCTATATATCAGAAACGGTTTCTAATATATTGTAACGGAAATGGCCTGGGGTACTCACCTTTGAAATAGAGGGATGAAAATTCATGGTATTTCAGTAAATGRGAGCCCCATTTGCGCCCCATTTACTGTCAAATATGACACTGACAAGCGGGAAGTTTCGCACCTGTTCTGGAGATTTCGAGAACCATTTGGGTTACCTGAAGGAATYTATATAAGCGACGACGAGAACCAGACAGGTCAGTAAAGTGATAGCAGCGACCGAGTTCAGAATAGGTTAAACCCCGCGAGTCGGAAGTCCGAGTTTTCCGTTTGCTATTGTTATTGTTTGTGAAGTTGACGTTAATTTAGAAGTTAGTTTGAGTCCGAGTTGAATAAAATTTGGAAGCTGAAGAAAGAGTTTGATACCCGGCCATCCACGTAGGAGGACGTATTTTTCCAAACGTTTTATTATTCTACTGAAGCGCAGTCTATGAGAGGTACATGATTTGGCAGCATTAGATGAAGACGCCAATTTAATTAAAATCGCCACTGAAGTTGAGCAATTGTCGATAGAAGAAAATATTCCGATCGAAGAAAATGCGCCAGCTGAAGCTCAGCCTGATGTAGAATCCATAAACGCTGCATCGAATTTGGAGACTTTTTTTGCAGTGGCGCCACTACAGAACGAATCTGTTATTGACACCACCAGAGAGCCTCGACGGTTAAGCGAAAACGAAATTAGGGAAATGGCAGCCATCAGAATGGCGGTTGCAAGCATTATTGATAGCTCCCAAGACACTTACGATAGTTTCATGGTGGAAAATGTGATGACTATGGATAACAGTGCTCAAGACGAGCAAGATGTGCAAGGTATCTCTAATTTGCCCGCAGAATTCATTGCTGAAGACACTAATATTGAAGAAATTGCGGGAAATGACAAAACCGGCGAAGATGCTGCATGTGCAACCGCAGTGGTTGACAGCAATACCTCGTTACAACAGAGCACTGTAAAATTTGAGGAAATCGCAGAAAACAATACTCCCATCGCTTCTACTGCCACTACGGTTAATACAGGCGAGCCAAACCCAAGTACAATTGATGATAATTCCCAGGCCTACGAAGATAACATTCCAGAAGGATCCAGTAATGCCACAGAACTTGGCAAGGACAATCAGGAAATTTCATCTGCAGGGGCTGCAAAGGATTAACATCCTTTCTATAACTAGAAGAAGAAACGCATTTGTTGGCAAGCATTGAGGAATCTTGTGCGGCTTCGTCCGCCTCCAAATCACCGAATCCGGTAGTTGAAATACCTGAAGGTCCTCAGGCCAAATTTAACGATGTCCACATTCACCGTTTGGCCAGATATAACCATGATCCAGGAATTACCTAATCGGGGCGATCAAGGTATCGAAGGGGGGCAGTGTAACGGAAATGGCCTGGGGTACTCACGTGTGAAATGGAAGGATAAAAATTCATGGTATTTCAGTAAATGAGAGCCCCATTTACTGTCAAATATGGCACTGACAAGCTGGAAGTTTCACACTGTTCTGGAGATTTCGAGAACCATCTGGGTTACCTGAAGGAATCTATATAAGCGACGACAAGAAACAGACAGGTCAGTGAAGTGACAGCAGCGACCGAGTTCAGAATAGGTTAAACCCCGCGAGTCGGAAGTCGTGGATGGCCGGGTATCAAACTCTTTCTTTGGCTTCCAACTTTTACTAACTCGGTATAACTTTAAATACGGAACAGGAACAAACTAACTTAAAAATTACCGTCAACTTCACAAGCAATAACAATAACAAACGGAAAACTCGGTCTTCCGACTCGCGGGGTTTAACCTATTCTGCACCCGGTCGTTGCTGTCACTTCACTCCCCCCTGTGGTTCTCGTCGCCCCTTATAAAGTTTCTTCCATGTAACCCAGGCGGTTCTCGAAATCTCCAGCCAGGTGCGAAATTTCCCGCTTGTCAGTGTCATATTTGACAGTAAATGGGGCGCAAATGGGGCTCCCATTTACTGAAATACCATGATTTCTGATCCCCCCATTCCAAACGTGAGTACCCCAGGCCATTTCCGTTACAATATCATCTGACGTGGTGGGTGCAGTGGTCATCACTTTCACTTTTATAAAACTCCTAAAAAAAGATGAAAGATGAAGAAACCAGATGCGGGTTAAGAACGACCTCTCCAACTCCTGCCAGATTTTCGTTTACTGCAGTATATTTCCGTCTTCGCGTTATTTTCTACTATTAACTACCAGTAGTGCGAAGTCTGGTTTCTTACTCTTGGATTGTTAGGAAATCTTTGCGCCCACAATAGCGCAGCTTCTCTGTAAATCTTTCTGCACTTTCCCAAAATTAACAACATGTCAGCTTCCATATTGAAATGGATTCCATAATAAACATTCCATGTTTGGTTGCAATAACTTGAGGAAAAGTGCGTTAAAACAGACAATTTGGAAAACCACTGACTTAAACATGTCTAATTGTATTTATATTCAATAAGACGTAAATTATTGATAATTGCGTAACCCGATGCGTAAACCATGCAAAAATTTGCCCACATACGTAGTTTTTCATGTAGAATCAAATTTCAGAATAAAAAAATATCATTCTATTTAAAATTTCAAAGTTTTTTTTTATCTCTAGAGAGAGCGCTTCCGTGGAATAATTTAAAATATGTTTAAACATGTCTCCCGACCGATCTATTACTTTCCAAAATTTTTTGAAGTATATTGCAAACTGTTTCTGAGATATAGCATTGTAACATAAACTCACCCTGTCTATTTTAGCTGTGCAATTTTTTTCGAAGGGTCATCCTGTATATTTTGTGTACACTAACCTAATCGTTTTATCCCTGGAGCCAGAAGCTAGGAATGGACCCATATGTGCTCCCTTCTTATTATCGGCACCAGCAGCTTCATTTATAGCACTGGCAGAAGCATCAGGTGCCCAAGCAATGCATTCGACCACATGCTCATGACCCCGTAACTCGTTCCGGCATTCTTTTGATGTCACTGACCAAATGCGAACAGACTGATCATTAGAACAGCTCGCCAATAAACTGCCATCTTGAGATGCTCTGATCATCCTCACCTATATATAAAGTAAAAAACAAAGTTTTTTAACTGACAATTTGCTCAGACGAATTATCAGAGCGAATTTTTACATCTTGTATTATCTTACTATTGTTTCACAATTTATTAACATACTCTTTTAGGTTCATTTAGGTTCTTTTGATACCGATAGCAGAAAATAGATATCAAAAATATGGCCCGCGAGACATTTTTGAAAAAACCCAATTAAAAAAATAGTACATTAGGTACTTATACTCACGGGAGTGACAGTGAGGCGGCAAACATCAAATCCTTTGATGTTTGCCGCTCACTCTTTGATAATCGCCGCCACTCGGCTTGCTCGATCAAATTCTTTGAGGTTTGCCGCCTCACGGGAGACACATCAACATATTTATTGCTTCTCAATTATTCTAAACTAGTTTATTCCAGATTATTCCTTCATTTTGCCTATATAAGCGGCTGGATGGCTCGAACGTTAGTTAAAGGCACTCAAAAAAGAGCAAAAGTTCCGACGAACTAGCTCTAGCGTAAAAATCAGCAACACGAACGTTAGTTCAGTTCTATTTGAGCTACCGATGTGATAACTTGGACAAGCGATATCCTAGCGAACTGCTCAAACCGTCAACTTGCTTTGTGACTTTGTGTGCATCTTGAGTGGTTACTAACTATAGTTTTTGAAGTGATAACTTTTTATGGGAGGGTGAACCGATTTTTCTCGGTCACGGCGAGCAGTAACGGCGGCTCCCACTCCGGCCTCTTCGCGCCTGAGGCTTGGGGCGCACATATGTACTTTGAATTCGACATTTTTCTCTTAGTGCGGGTGCATCTGTAGATCTGATAAACTTTTTAAATACACATTGCGTTATTAAACTGACAGTGATTTTGATTGATCAATTATTGAGTGTGATATTATTGTGTTCGGTGTAGTCTATTTTATAACGCTGATAACAATGAATCAACAAATTATCAAGGGAGAAGCTGCAGATACTGCAAATACTAGGTTAAGGGTGCTGATGTACTAAATGCCTGAGTTTCGTCTTCTTTTAAATTTCCTATTAAAGTACACACACAATTATACACACTAAAGCAGTTTAAGTGCAAAAAAAATGCGGATCGTCCTTCAATTTGCAGAAAAATGTATTACAAACTTTTGAAAATCATCTTCAAACGACCGGGTATTTATCATTGCAAATGA